TTTTTATTACAATATGATTTATGTAATTGTGTTTTTTGTATTATTTCACTGTTTTTACTATATTGGAAGCCGCCTAGAGTGGTCTTTTAGACCAGATGGGCGGGGTATAAATCAAATAAATAAATAAATAAATAATTATAGTCATGTCATTTTCTTCTGGCTGCTGCACAAGGGTTGAGGGCGGGGGTTTCACTTGTGTGTGTGTGTTTAGTCGTTTAGTCGTGTCCGACCCTTCGTGACCCCATGGACCAGAGCACGCCAGGCCCCCCTGTCCTCCACTGCCTCCCGGAGTTGTGTCAGGTTCATGTTGGTTGCTTCGCAGACACTGTCCAGCCATCTCATCCTCGGTCGTCCCCTTCTCCTAGGACGCCTTCCGACCTGAGGGGCCCATCTTCCAGCGTCATATCTTTTAGCCTTTTGTTTCTGATCATGGGGCGTTCTTGGCAAAGATACTGGAGTGGCTTGCCATTAGGGCTTATTTTTGCAGTAGGGCTTATATGACGAGCATCCTGAAAAATCATACTAGGGCTTATTTTCAGGTTAGGTCTTATTTTGGGGGAAACAGGGTACACAGAATGGCTGGGAGAGATTGTCTGGAGTTTTGGGGTTCAGTACCATCAGAACAGTGATGATACTGAACGTCCACCTCTTCTTCCATTCCAAGGAAGCTGTTCTGTGCCCAAACTAGTGCCGGTTGTGATCCTTCTCGGTCGCAAGGCAAATCCAGGGGATAAGGCTCCCACCTGTACGTGCCCGAACTAGTGCCTGTTGTGATCCTTCTCGGTCGCAAGGCAAATCCAGGGGATAAGGCTCCCACCTGTACTGGAGAGGGTTACACTCCCCCTGAAAAGTCAGGTTCGCCGCATGGGTGTGTTCCTGGACTCAACCGATCGCTTGGGTGTTTCAGCAGTGGCCAGGAGTTAAAGCTGGTGTGTCATTTGCACATGTTCCTCGAGATGTCTTATCTTGTCATGCCTTAGTTACAACGTGTCTGGATTACGGCAATGCTTTCTATGTGGGGCTGCCTTTGAAGACTGTTCAGAAACTTGTGGGTGTTCAAAATGCTGCAGCCAGACTATTGACTGGCATTGGGTTATAGAGAGCTTGTAAGTCCCTGGCAGTATTTTCAGTGGCTGCCAGTCTGTTTCTGGGCCCAGTTCAAAGTGCTGGTTATTCGCTTGGATCCTGGCTACCTGAAGGACCGTTTCACCCCCTATGAGCCTTCTTGGCTTTTAAAAGATCTTCAGAGGAGGCCCTTCTCTGGGTGGGCTCCCCACTTTCCCGAGCTCGTTTTGGGGAGCACACGAGGGAAGGCCTCCTCGGTGGTGGCTCCCAGGCTTCAGGATGCACTGCCCTGAGAAGCCAGGTTCCCCCCTCCCTTCTCCCTCTGGTCCTTCCATTGACAGGCAAAATCCTTCCTCTTCAGGCAGACTTTTAAGCAATAAGTTCTCCCAGGGATGCTGGTTTTTTAACCTACGGGGTTCCAAAAATATTTTTTGAACTGTTTTTAAAACTTCATTTTGTCAATATAGTTTTAAAATGTTTTTTAAATAGGATATTTATATAGTATTTTTTAAATCTGTAGTTTTATCTGTGGTAAGCCATCTTGGGTCCCCTATAAAGCGGCATATAAATTAGACAGACAGATAAAATAATCTGTATAGCATAATTGGAAACACAAGAGTGTGGCTGATCGTAGTCTTGGTTTCCAGGGACACATCCTGACACCTGATCATCATTTCTAGTTCCTTCATGGCTGCCCTTCCTAATCCCAGTTTCCTTCTGATTTCTTGGCCGCAGTCTTGAACCAGTTTTGATTTCTTTCTCGTCAACAGCAAAGTTACGTCACTCTCCCGGCCTTTCGCTTTGCAAACCCAAAATGCTTCTCCTCGCTTGTGGATACAAACGCAGACCTCCTGCCAACATTTTTAGAGTCTGTACAGCCAAGTGTGTGGCTGCAAGGGTGACTCACGAGGAGTACCCAAACTGCCAAATTTCCCATTACACCACAGAGAGAGAGAGGTTGAGAGAGACAGAGAGAGGGAGAGAGAGAAAGAGGGAGGGAGGGAGGGAGAGAGAGAGGGAGGGAGGGAGAGGGAGAGAATGAGAAAGAGAGGCAAGGATGTTCCAAATCCTTTTCAGGGAAAGAAGAAACCAAAGATTGACAGCCAGGGCACCCTTATTCTGTAATAGTAATAATAATTAAAAAAATGAGCGCATCTGAGAATTCAGAGGTGAGGAATGAGGTGGAAAAAACGCACAATGTGAGAGAGAATCCTTTCCTCCCGAGAGTTGTTCAACACCTGCTCGGAGGACAAACACCGTGATGAACATCGCTGCTCCCCTTGTAAGGATGCTTGGAACAAGACTTTTTTGCCAGCTTGATCACCATGGAGACAGAGTTTGGGAATACTTTGCAGTACTCCCTCGGTGTCAGCCTTGCCGCCTGGGGCTGGGTTAACTTTAGATTAGGTATCGCTAATGTCGTGTGAGATGTAAGAGACCAGGACCAGTTGCGGTTGGGTGTGGGGGATGTGCCCCCGCATTACATGCCCGTGGAGACAGATAGATATAATATGTATTCTTTTTTTTTACTGACCCAAATCTTTTCACATCTCACGCAACTCAACGTCCAACAGGTAAAAATGGTTGCTCACTTTGTGACTGGAGCGAATTCATTTCCAAAAGGGTTGCAAACAGCATCCATGGGTGGCAATTCAGGGAAGAGCAAAGAATCCTCAAGTAAAAGGAGGTAACTTGGACAGGGGACAACTTTTCTGGGACTGTGGAGAAATCCAATCAAGGGAGTGCTTATGTGCATCGTGCTTATGTCCCACCCCGTGGACAAGAGAAAATCCTGCAGATTTCGAAGCTCTTGCTCCTGAAGTAGCCCACTTCCAATTGGAGATTGTCTAATTATCTTGATTTGTTTTTACTTTTACTTCGATTTCACCCATGATTTTAAATTGTTCGACGTGCTGGTACAAATAAAGATAGTCCAACAGAAGAAAGGTCTGGTCCCCTCCCTGCTTTTGCTGGATGATGGAAGACCTCCCACCACAAGGTGACCCCATTATAGCTTCAGGAACAGTTGGAAAATCCAGCGATAACTCTGTGACCCACAGCCAAGCAATAAAGGATCATTCTACGCTTACTATTGTACTCCCTCTCACGTTAAATCAGGTCCTACCAGCAACCTCGACATTAACCGTTCAGGATGATTCTCCTTATCTTTACCCAAAAAAAAATATTACAATTTTTTTTTTTGTATAAAGTTGTGGAAACATCCGTGGGAGGAGGAAGCGCCTCGCCTCATCTGGATTCAAGACGTCTCCGGAGGATCGGTAGTTTCTCAACAAACTGTCTCAACATTTCAAGAAAGTGCGTCTCATTAAGAATGAGTAATCCCCTGAGCATTCTTCACAGTCCTTACGAGCGTGGTTCTCTTTGTGCCGCGTTGGGTGTGCTCAAGGTGACTTTCTCGCCAAGCCGAATTCTGTCTCTCCTCAACATCTAGGCAGATCAGAGCGGGGGATTATTGATGAAGTATTCTGAGAGGTGTAGACCAAAACAACATCGTTTCCTCTCGGGGAGCCCGCGGTGGCCTCCCATTCTGACTTCTTTCTTTCTCTACCTTTCCAATGAGTCCTGCACGGGAAAGGTGCCATCCTGAGTGCCTTTACTAGGAGAGAAAAAATACCATGAAAGCCCGCAAGATTTTCCATGAGATTTCTTGAGAGAAGGGGTGGAAAATCTCACTGAAAGAGGAAAAGAAGACACACACCCCTTCCACGTCCCGTTCAAAATCAAGAGGCCGTGAGTTCCACACCCCTTGCTCAAGTTTTCCAACCTCATTGTTTGAGGTGCTTTTCTAGCAGAAATACTTGGGATCAAAATAAGCCCTTCTACTAGCAAAGCATATGCTCTGACCCCGACCTGAAGATAAAAAGCTATTCTGCCCCTGAAGTTATCAGCTCCTGCTCTGGTGCCATCATCATCCCTAAGACATTTTCCCCACCATCATCTGTACAGATTTCCTCTCTCCCTTCACCCATATTTTTCCTCCCCTTGACTTCCCACTGTTTTTCCTTCCTGTTGAAAGCATGTTTTGTGTGTGTGTTGATTTGCACCCGGTCATAGATTCGCACTTCCTCATGGCGGCTGATGTCTAACAGAAAGTGTGTCAGATCAAAAGCATTCAAATTAACATTCAATTAGCTTTTTAAAATAAATAAATAAATAATAAACCCACCCTCTGAAAGCTCCATCGGAGAAGTGCCATTAGAGGCGTGTATTTCTTCAAGAGAAGGAAAGAGCCCTGATCCATCGCGCTCAGTGGCGCTGACATTCATGCCTCCTATCTTCCAGATGAGCTCAAAACTCTCCAGAGTTTTAGGTCAAAACATGGGGATTTCTGCATGCAAAACACATCCTCCCTAAGGAACAACCTCTTTCCTGAATAATGATAAGGACAGATGGCGCTGCTTTCTTATGCATCTGTTTCCGGCCACAATTCAAAGCAGTTGTTCTAACCTATAAAGCCCTGAATGTATTGGACCCAAGGTACCTCAGGGACCATGTCTCCATCTAACCGGCTTGGGAGTGAAGATCATGAGGGGAGGCCTTTCTCTCGGTCCCGCCACCTTCAGAGGCACGCTTGGGGAAAACACAGGGCAGGGCCTTCTCTGTGGCTGCTCCCAGAGACTATGGAACTCCCTACCACTGGAGGGGGTCCCCCTCTTGGCTGCTCTTCGGCAAGCAGGCTTGGACCTTTCGCTTCAGGCAGGCTTTCCCCGAGGTCCCCCTCTTGGCTGCTCTTCTGCAAGCAGGCCCGGACCTTTCGCTTCAGGCAGGCTTTCCCCGAGTGTGGTATTTAAATTGATTACTGTGGCTTTACTGCTTGAATGTGGTTTTGGTGTTGGTTTTGTGTTTTGGTATCGCATCCTTTGGTCCTTCTGGTGCTGCATATTCATGGTGACCCACTTAAATACTGTCTTTTAATTCTTCTAAGCTGCCTCGGGCCCTTTTTAAAGGAGTAAATAAATAAATACTGTATTTTATCTTACAGCTAAAAAGCTTCATGCACAACCAGGGAAAACCACGGCCTGCTGACCTCACGGAGGAGGAGGAGTGTGGCTAGACGGGAAACTGACAAGCTCGTGTGCCATAGGACTGGAGGAGGAGGAGTGTGGATAGACGAGAAACCCCACAGGAAACTGACAAGCTCGTGTGCCATAGGACCATGGACAGCGCTCTGTGGGGGCTGGTTGCCAACGTGAAGCTGACCGGCTTAGCTAGGAGGACATCCAGAAGCAGAGATTTGGAAAGCTGGCTCCGGGTCATTATCTGAATCTCAGGCTTTCCCCCTGTGCTATCGGGATTTCCCAGCAGCCTGTGAAAAATTCCCTTGTCTCATGTGCCTCTTCATTTTTTCACCATTTTTCTCTCCTTATCCTGGGCAGGAAGGTTCCAAATCCTGCACAGCTTGATGAATCCTGTACAGAAAAGAGGCCATCCTGAGCGTGGACTGTACTAATCCTGCACAGGTTCGCTTTCATTCCAGAACAACAACCAACAAAATGACCACGAATCTTTAAAAAAAAAATCCTTGGCAATTTCTCACGAGGTTTCTCGGGGCAAGGGGACGGCCTCCGTCCAGCGAAATCTCCTTGCAAGGAGAAAAAAAAAGGGTTTCTCCTTTTTCTTCGAGAACAAGAGGCTGTGAGATCTCCATCCACAGAAAGAGGTGGAAACTCCCTTCCGCAGCCTTGCAGTCAGGCGAACATCTCAACGTCTACCCCTACGCCTTGGTTCAATTCTCATGGACACGGCAGCCACGAAAAAGATCAGAAATTGGAAGAAGACAGACCAGGAAGGGCCGCAACAAAGGGATTTAAATAGATTGCCAAGTGCAAGGATGTGTCACAAGAGACGAAAACCAAGATCATCCACATTCTTGTATTATCAATCACTAGGCAGGGATGTGAGAGCTAGACAGTCAAGAAAGCTGGTTGCGGGGGGTGGGGGTGGGGGAGAAATAGGATTCACTTGAAATATGATGCTGGAGGAGAGCTTTATGGATACCCTGGACTGCCAGAAATACTAACAAGTAGATCTTCTATCAAGTCAAGCCTGCACGATCTCTGGAGGCAAAACATATTGAAACTGAGGCTGTCCTATTTGGGGCACATCACGAGAAGGCAGGATTCACAGAGTGGGAGGGGATAATGCTGGGAAAGGTGGAAGGCAGCAGGAAAAGAGGGAGGTTAAACACAAGATGGATTGACTTCCTAAAGGAAGCCACAGGCTTCAGTTTACAAGATCTGAGCAGGGTCATTGAGGACGGGACCTTTTTGGAGAGCGCTCACTCGTTCATAGGGTCGCCCTAAGTCAGAGGTGACTTGACAGCCCATAGCGACAGCAGCAAACCCGCGGCCATGTAGGAAGGTTCTCAGTTCTAAAAAAAAGTGGAGCCCATCCTGCTGCCTCCAGCTGGGAGGTGTGAGAGCAGAAAGATGCTCAGCCACAAAGGAAAAAGACTTCTTAAATCCTCTTTTAATGTTTGTATTCTGTGGCCAAGATCGGCTGGTTTCCACCACTCATGCAAGAGCAGATGGCACATCTGATTTTTATGCCATTTATGCACGGAGATATTCTATCCCCTTGCACACATGGAAACCCTGTTGGTTTCAATGGGCCTATCTCTGGCTTGCATGACGTAAAGTCCGAGTTACGCAAGGCAGAGACTATGCATCGCACTGCGGTCCGAAGTGGTTATGCTCCACATTGGCCAACGGAATTCTGCCCTCGGAGTTTTCATTGATTCCCTTTTTCAAGTCAGCCGTGCGCTGGCTTCGGTCTCAGTTTTAGGAGAAAACAAACTAAGCAAATCAATAAACGGGGATTTAAATCTCTCCCTGACTCAGATCCCCAGCCCTCTGAGAACAGCCATCAGCCAGAACTCAAAGCCAGGCAACCTCTTTCTTCGTAATCATACCCACATGCCGTCAGTGATTCCACCTTACGGCAACCCTTCCCAGGTTTTTCTAGGTCTAGAGTATTCTGAAATGTTTTCCTCCTTCTGGCGGTGTCCTGGGTTCTGGTGCAGCTCGCACAGGGTTCGGCAGGGTGCACTGCCCCATAAGCCAAGCATGCTCTGACTGAGCTCAGCGGGTCCCTCTTTTGGGAAACACAGCGGGGGATTCAACCCTTCTGGTCCCTGGCTCTGCCGCTGGGTGGGCCAACCCTCTGAGCTGCACCCACTCGGCCTTTTTCTTAGGATAATCGAAATGTCACAAGAAAGGGTGCAGGTTTTGGCGGATGTGCACCTGCTTGTTTACAGCATTTTGGTTTGTCCTTATCAAGAGGTTGTGAGAATGGCTGATGGTCGGATTCCGAAAGATCTCCTGTATGGAGAAATAGTGCAGGGAAATCACCCCAGAGGGAGACCACAGCTGCGATACAAGGGTATCTGCTAATGTGAACAGAAGGCCTTAGGAATGGACCTCAACAGATGGGAAACTCTGACATCTGAGCGTTCAGCCTGGAGGCAGGCGGTGCATCACGGCCTCTCCCAATTTGAAGAGACCCTTCTCCAGCAGGCCGACGCAAAGAGACAGTCCTGAAACCAGCAAAATCAGGGACAGATTATATTTGTCTTCAGGATGGAAGGGATTGTCATTCTCGAATTGGCCTCCTCAGCCACACTAAACGCTGTTCCAAGTCCTCCATTCAGAGCACATTATCATCATCTCTTGAGACTGAAGGATGCCTAAATCAAATCTATCAAGAGGTTGCTAATCATAGAATGATGGAGTTGGAAGGGGCCTCTAAGGCAAGGCAGAAATTCAGGTCCAAGCCGAGCTGACTGTTTTCTCTTGAAGGCCTCCAGCGTCGGAGCGTTCACCATGTCTTGAGGTCATGGGTTCCCTTGTCATACTGCTCTAACAGTTAGGAAGTTTTTTCCAATACTCAAACAAAATCTGCCTTCCTGTCACTTAATCCCATTATGACATGTCCTGCGCTCTGGGATGATGGAGAGCAGATCCTGCCCCTTCTCTGTTTGAATACCTCCCAGGTCCCTGAAAAGGGCTCTCCTATCACTCCCCCCCCAGTCTTCTTTTTAAAAGCTAAATGTACTTGATTCTTTCAGCCTTTCTTCAGAGGGCTTGGTTTCCAACCCCCTGATCCTCCTTGTTGTCCTCCTCTGAACACGTTTCAGTTGGTTCGCATCCTTCTTGAATTGCAACATCCAGAACCAGACTCAAGATGAGGCCTAACGAGTGCCGAACGGAGGGAAACTAGCCCCTCCTGGGATTTGGAGACTAGACTTTTGTTAATGCAGCTTAAAACCGCATTGGCCTTTTTTGCAGCCACATCACACTGTTGGCTCATACTCAGCTTGCTCAGCAACAACTCCAAAGTCCTTCTCACTGGTAGTATTGCTGAGCCAGGTATTTCCCCACCACCACCTTGTAAGCTCATCTGCACATTCAGGATTTGCTTGGCTTTGTTTCCTCTGGGCCCAACATAGCCCTCAAGGACGTTTGATATAGATCAAGATGCAAATATTAAGCTAGATCACATCTTGAGAAAGCTCCTTCCCCCCTGGTAGATGCTAGTCCTGGAAGTCCCAGTCTCAAAAAGCCTGGGAGCAGGGTTGCCTTGAGGTTGCTCGATTCCATTCCCCATACCCCTCTAGAGCACCAGATGGTGGCTGATGGGAGATGCAGTGAAAGCTGGGCCGTAGGAAGTTCAGGCAGAAAAGTTCCCTCCATCTTGTACCCTGAAACCTTTTTCAATGGAAAACGTTGTGGACTTGGTGAAGGTCCAGTTACTGGACGATGGGGTTAGTATCCAAAAACTGATTCCAAGCAAAACTTGGGGGGGGATTTATTTAATTTTTTATTTAAAATATTTTTACCACCACCTTTCTCCTTAAAAAGGACCTAAGTAGGCTTACATCCTTGGAAGACAGTATTTTAAAACTCAAAAGAATGAGTATACTCTATGGTGGTTGTCGCTTGCAACCAGCAAAATCCCTCGGCAAGCCCGGCCCACACTGAGGCGCTGTCGTCCTCAAAAAGGAACTTTTCTAAACTGGGAGGTCAAAGTCGTAACTCCTTCCTCGCTAAGGGGTGATTAGAATCACTTATTTCACTCTTGCGGGTGAAGATTAAAAATGTCAAAGATTTTTTTCCCTGTTGGGGAACCTGGTAAAATTTTTCTTATAATTTCAAGATCTTTGTCAAAAATTCAGAAAACAGTGAGGTGGGAAGGGGGGGGGGTTCCACACACACGCAAAAATCCACCCTTCTTATTCTGCACATTCTCCATTTAAAAGCTTGCACTGAGTGTAGTTTTTTTAAATGCACAATATCTGTTTTCAAGCATTAAATGCCCCCACCCCCAATTAATTTTTTTTGCGAAAGCTCCATGAATAAGAAAAGGTTCCCAATCTTTTCGCCTTCTTACGGGAGCAAATGATTCTGAGTTGTGAAGTTTTTTTTCCCCCCCGTGGGGTAATTCAAAGTGTCAAGACATCCTTTTCCCCCCCCCCCTTTAGCGAAAGCTCCATGGATAAGAAAAGGTTCCCAATCTTTTCACTTTCTTACAGGAGCAAATGATTCTGAATTGTGAGGTGTGTTTTTTTTCCCCAGTGGGGTGAGTCAAAGTGTCAAGACATCCTTTTTCCCCCCTTTATGTTGCTGATGAGAAAAATGTGTGAATATTCATCACATCCTTCTCATGCAGCTGGAGACTGGCTGTTCTCCGCTTCTAATTTCATGATAAACTTTACACTGCGGACGAGAGATCAAACATTCAGTCCTTCCATTAATCCCTGATTTAGAGGGAAGAGAGAACGGGAAACTTTCCTTTCAGTGAAATCACAGTGAGCCACTGCTGGTTAAAAAACAACCAGGAGTTCCCACTGTTGATTTCTTTATGTTTTGGTCTACAACCTCCATCATCCCCAGTGAATAAGGCCGAGGGGTGTTGTTGTTCCAAAACATTTTCGAATCAGAAGTTGGCAGAGCCTCTTGAGCTACACAGGAAAATACATTCCGTTTTAGAACAGAGTCAGCAGCCATTCTCAACCCTTTAATTTTTTAAAAAATATTTTTTTGCCCACGACCCTAAATGCAAGAAATATAGCCGGAATTAGGATTGTATAAATTATGTAACACACCTTCAAAGGTGGTGTGGGAAGACTCGTTTCTAGTCAGTGAGCCCCTTCAAAGGGTCAGGGCCCCCGTTGAGAATGGCTGGTTTATAGGATGACTTGCCCGCACATTCCACTGATTTTAATTGATCTACTCTATTCTGGGCTAAAATTGGGTTTAACCCAGAATGGGACCTTATAGAAGATGAGAACAGGCTTCTGTGTGGGACGGGTAGTTCTGAATGAACACCTTTTGACCGTATGCCACAATCTTCTCTTGGAAAACCATTTCTGAGCACCCACCACCTAGTAAGATCCCGCATAAGCACCACCCAAGCCTCTAGTCCTCATGAGTACGAGGTGGGGAGGGAGGACACACAGAACAGCCCCAAAAGACTCCGTCCAAGGTGGTTTGGGACACACACACACAGACTCACCCCTCTCTTCCAAAGTTCAACAGCTCTGCAACCGGGAGAAACAATCACACCTGCATTAGGGGGTTAAAAGGATAACACCTTCATGGAAAGACATCCCATTCCAAGCTTCTAACATTTCCAGCAGGTAGAATTTGAAAAACACAGACAACAACACAGCCTCTTCCGGGCTGAAATTCCACCCATAAAGCAAACAGTCTGGAAAAAAAAACCCAGATAAATACGTAGACAGATAGACAGGTAGATGTACGTAGTTTTAATCAACAGACACCCAGATTGTGTTTTTTTTTTTAATCTCTCTTGGAAAGCTGCTCATTAGCCCAGCCTTTATTTTCTCTTTCCTGTTTCCATTAAACAGGCAAGAATTCAGAGTGACAACCTAGCACCTCCACAGTGCGGGCACACACACACACACCTGCGTCTTGGCCAACCAAAGGCTGCCCACCTTTGCCTTTGAGAAGACCAACCCAAGAACCCAAGTTCCTTTTCCCTCCAATCCCCACATCGCCCCAGGAACCGCCAAAGCGCCCAGCGTTTTGGGAACAAAATGTGCACCCCACAGATCTGTGGCGCCCGCCGAGGGAGCAGCCCGGCCCCCAAAACCCTAGGCTTGCCTCAGGCGCACCTTTGCAATGTCACAGGACCGAGGAGCAGGAAATCAAACATGTTGACCTGATGCGTTTTCCTTTGGAAGGCTTCGAAAACATCACCGTCCCCTGTCTCCTCCTGGTAAGCAAATGAAGTATGCCAAAACACACAACACACATGCACAAAGAGAGACTTTATACACAAGGAACCTATTTTCTTTACTAAAACAAGTGCACACATTCTCCCGTCACCCATGTCCATCCACATGTTACGTGCCCATTGTGTTCCTCCTCACATCACCACCACGACGCAGAGACCACCGTGGTCCTTACCTCAAATTGGATTCCGGCTTCACTTTATGCAACAGTGATGCTCAGCCTCAACATCTAGTCCAGATGCATTTATGTGGAAAGGGGGTTTGGGGTGGGGGGGCCCAGACAGGAGACGTCGTCGGCAGCTTCGCCCCGCGTCGTATTCCTCGGCCAAGGAGAGGCTGGCTGCTCGTGCGTGGCTGATTGGAGCTGATGATGCGTCGGCTTGGGCTAACCGGTTGTTTTCATGCTCGGCAGCCTCTCCGTGAGAAGCCTGTGGCCGCAAGAGGGCTGTCAGCTGCTCTGCGGCTCGGCAAACCTTCCCGTGTTTCTGTCACAGGGAACACAAAGAATCCGCTGCCACACAGTTCTGGCCACGGTGTGCCAGCGGGAAACAAAGGCCAGCCGGGAGGAAAGGAGAGGAGAGACATCCAACCACCCTTGGCAGGAGGGCTCCTCCGGGCACCCTCTCTCTCCAGCTGTGCCCATTGGATAAACATCAGGAGGAGCCACACCGTGGCTGCTGGCCCGGCTTGAGCCTGAAAACCTGGGGCTACAAAGCCAGAAGGATTTCACCCACAAAAATAGGACAATGAGAAACTCAGATATATCCAGCAAGAAGCTTTGTCTCCCAGCCATTTTTTTGGGGGGGGGCTCAGCACATTTGAAGCAGGTCAGTGACTAACAACACTTCTTCACACACCCCCTAATAAGGTATGTTACATAATCCTGAGTGAGCCTGTTATTCTCTTTCATCTTGCGGTTTTTAGCCCTGGCCAAAAACAAGGCTGAGAATGGCTGAAGAATCTAGCCTACTATTTACATCCAGCAATACAGGCAGAGTCAGAGGTTGGGGGTTCGATTCCTCCACTGGGTCTTCCTGGCCAAGGGCCCCTTGTCGCTCTGCAGTGCTAAGATCATCCATTCGTCAGTTTGTTTGTTTGTTTGTTTGCTTATTTTCTATGCCGAACCCACTAGTGCAGAAAGGAGGAGTTTAACAGCAAGTTAAAACATATATTAAACCAACAAAGAAACAGTAAAATTAAAACACCGACAGCATAAAAGCCGAATGGCGCCAGACGTGGTTTCCCAATAAGAGCAGGCCAGAAGGTAAACAAGAGTCCACCAGGGTGGGGTTGAAAAGCTTCCCGGAAAAGCAACGCCTTAAGTGGCCTCCTCCATGGAGGGAGACAGGCGTAACTCCTCCGGGAGCTGGTTCTATCAGGCTGGTGCCACCACGGAGAAGGCCCTGCTTCTTACAGGTGACTATGGAGGGAGAGAGCATCTCTCTTGTGGGATTTTTGCATCTCTGCTAAGAACAAGGAGGATAAAGAGGCAGCTTACATCATTAAGAGGTAATATTAAAGATGAAATCATAAGTATACAAATAGTCAAAAGGAACAAACCAAATACAGCTCAAGAGAGATGGTGAACACAAGTTGTACTAAAGACCCGGTCGGAGCAGGAATGCACTACAAGCATTACACTGTCGTGTCGTCATTCACAATCAGAACCAGCGCTCCAGATTGTGCCCGGAAGTGGATCGGCAGCCAGCAGAGCGGCTGTAACAGGGGAGTGAGATGTGACCCCTGCAAACCAGCCCCAGTGAGCAATCTGGCTGCTGCGTTTTATGAGTCAGTAGTCCGAGATGAAGCAGCTGGTCTAGCTGCTCATGCTTGCGCCACCTGCACAGAGACGCATCACCTCTCCGTCCAGCTCCCCCTTCCCGTATGGACACGCCATCTCTCTGTTATTTTTCTGTTTCCCAAAGTACATGATATCCCAAAGGTATCCAGTTGAAGCTGGATTGTGGTTTTCCCGGGAAGATCTCCCGCAAGCTTTTTGCAAACAGTAGACAAGGAAAGTAACATCCTGGCAAAATGACAAAAAGCTCAGCATCCTGTCCCAGTAAAAAAAAAATAATTCATTTTCATCGATGTCGGCCTTTCACGCTGCCTGCAAATGGGCCAGTAATCCAAGGTTTTGAGGGGTGGGATTTGCTTTGGGCAAAGCTCGTCACGTTTGCATTTCCCAACTCAAGAGTCAAAGAACCAGCTCTCTTTCGCCGTCTTCAAATTTCGCACTACGTCGTTGTGTTAATGGCCACCAAAAAAAGGGCACATATAAGAGCAGGAAATACAACCAGCGGTATTTTATTACAGAAACTTACTTGCCAAGTTAGGTCTGGATGAGGAAAAATGGCTCACAGAAATGTCTATGACTTTTAACGCATGCAGATTTTTGCATGCAAACATCACGAAATCATGCAGAAACACGATGGGATGAGTTGACCAGAAAACCAAATGCTCCAAACCGCAGTTTCTTTTCTTCTAAAACAATAATATATAAACCTGGAAATGTACCCTTGTCAGGACTTAAAATGCATCTCCTTAGGCTCGGGATGGGCAACGTTCAGAGGGGTCTTGAGTTCGATTTTGAACCACTGAACGCTGCACCTCCTACCCACCCAAATGTGGGTCAGTGGATATTCGGTCCCCCCAATACCAAAAGTTCAGGTTTTACAAAAACTGCTGAAAATATATTTGTAGGAAAACAAGCCCTTTGTTATGCTTTAGAGGAGAATCTCCTCTAATGTCTTCTGCATTTTTTAAAAATGAAATTTCCCCCTCATATATATATGAGGAAAGAGAGAGAGAGAGAGATATCCCAAGAAAAGGATTCAAAGTCAAGGCCTACAACGGACTGAATATCTCTGTTCAAGATATTTAAGGAAATCACTCAAAAACGATCATCCTACTGGTAATCTTCCTGATTCTGTTTTCTACCCGTTTGCCTGTCAGGGAAAGGGGGAAGGCTGCATATTCATTTACTTCATTAAAATATGTTTACCCTGCCTTTTTGCCTTGAAAGGACCCAACACAGCTTACATAATCAAATGCGGTATTTAAAGCTACAAAGCAGGAGGTGTATAAGAACCGGAAAAGATCAAACAACGCCACACTAAAAGGTGGTAAACAAAAGCAATACCAAAAACACATTCAAAGCAGCAAGGTAAAGGTAAGGTAAAGGTAAAGGTTCCCCTTGACAATTTTTGTCCAGTCGTGTCCGACTCTAGGGGGCGGTGCTCATCCCCGTTTCCAAGCCATAGAGCCAGCATTGGTCCAAAGACAATCTTCTGTGGTCACGTGGCCAGTGCGACTTAGACACGGAACGCTGTTTACCTTCCCACCGAAGTGGTCCCTATTTATCTACTTGCATTTGCATGCTTTCGAACCGCTAGGTTGGCGGGAGCTGGGACAAGCGACGGGAGCTCACTTCATCACGTGGATTCGATCTTACGACTGCTGGTCTTCTGACCCTGCAGCACAGGCTTCTGCAGTTTAGCCCGCAGCGCCACCACGTCCCAGCAAGGTAAAACCATCCCTTTAAAAACTCCACCCAAAGAGCCATTCCTAAAGGGGAAGCTTGCCTGGAAAGAAAGGTCTTTTAGCTGCTTGCAGAAGGACAGCCAAGAGGGAGCCAGGCTGGCCTCCAGTGGGAGGGAGTTCCAGAGTCTCTGGGAGCAGCCACCGAGAAGGCCCCTCTCCTGTGGCCCCAGCAAACACACCCGTGAGGATGATGGTACTGAGAGAAAGGCCTCCCCTGATTATCTTAACAGCCAAGCAGGTTCATTAGGGGATGATGCCGTCCTTGAGATCGCCGGACCCAAAATTATTTCGGGCTTTTATGGACAGAACCAACACTTGGAGTTGGGCCTGGATGCACATCCACAGCCCGTGGAGCTGCTGTAACAGAGAGGTTGTGGGAATCTGGCAGCTGCATTTTTGGACCCGTTGAAGTTTTTTGACCTTTCCAGAGGTAGCCCCAGGTAGAATGTATTACAATAATCCCATTCTTAAAAAACAAAAAATCCTCCGGTGCATAAATGTGGGGGACTGTGCTTCTCTACCCATGATTCAAAAACCCAGGAAATGGCCCGATGCGGCTGCACAATATCGTGCCTGCCTTGCCAGCAGGAAAAAGGAGGCCAAGCTTTACCTAGCCAAGGGCAGCCTGGAGGTGGACGACACCCACGGCAGCCGTCCAGGGGATCTCTACAGGATTCCCCCTTCGGCTCACGATCATTCACACACTTGTTGAAAAACAGCCCAACTGTGGCTTTGTGTTTGGGGGAGAAGGAGTGAACGGATTGAAAAAACGGAGCCCGCTTTTGGGATTTTCCTCCTGGTGTGGGGTCACTTCATGGATAGTCGTGGTGCTTGGGGGATAGTCCTGTTGAACCCCTGCGGGAGGGGCTCAGGATCCCCCAGGCGATTTCACACAGATAGGAGAACCCTGAAAGAGGCTGCCCAGCATGATGGGTTCTGATACCCCTCCCGGTGTGCGGATGACACCCGACGCCATCCTGCTTTTCCACATCTTCCGGGAGGCCCTTCTCTCAGCCTCTGAGGTGTAACCTCGGCGTGGGTCACCATGGCCAGATGAGACCTCCTCCAGAGACAGATGTAGCTGGCAACTTAGTATGAATTGCACCAATGCACTCCTGGACGCCACTGAAATCTGAGCATCCGGGCTCAGAGAGGAATCCAGGAAGACGGGGTCCCCTCTGTCTTTCTGCCCTGCTCGCCGGCTCTCCCTCTTCTTCCACCTCAATTTTTCATGTTGCTTTGGAGTGAACTTCGAAAACACGGCAGGCTCCGGTCGTGATCCTTTGCCAGAGAGAAACCAGCCAGCTTTTAAGTGCCGAGGTCTATTTTTACCCGGGGCATTTGGAAATGGAAGGCAAAGCTGTAATGGCACTTAAAAGCATCTGGGGTTCACCCAAGGCAGAGGGCGGCCTCCATTACTGGAAGGATCAATTTCTACACTGCCGGCTTTGCTCAGAGAGAAACGGTGGGCGTTGCACACCCTCAAGGCAGAAACCCTGTTTCTGGGACATAATACCTTGCTCCTCAGGCCACTTCTTCTACCCAAAGGTGTGTTTCTCTGGAAGGACGAGGGACGCGATGAGCTTTCAGATGTTGTTGGATTCCGGTGCCTATCAGCCACATCTGGAATAGCTAATCACTAAGGATGATTGGATTTGTAATGCTGGATACCTGGGTGGAAATCCCCCATCTCTACTGTGAAACTTGCTGGGTTGACTTTTCGCTGGCCTCTCAGCCTGGCCTACCTCCCAGGGCTGCTGTAAGGATGAAGTAGAGCATACAGGAGACACACACATACACACACACAGGAGGACAGACCCTGACAGAACTCTTGAGCAGCAGGAGGAGGAAGTGCCATAGAAAAGAGTCACTCCATGAGGAGCAAAAGGAGAAGGAGAGGACGATCTTCGATCGGTGGAACTGGGAAACCGTTTTTTAGTTTCTCGGTGAGAATTCTGGCAGGCAGCAAGTTCACGAAGCCAAAGAGGAGACCTCGCGGGAGTGCATGAGAAGGACGGAAGCTCAGTCAAACAGAGGCCCTGAACCCACACCCTATAAGAAAAGAAGATGAGAAGTTGCAATAGGAGACTCCGTCTTGCGTGGGATGGAAACGGAAGTATGCCGGGAAGATCCATGGACCCTCGCCAGGTGTGCCCGTCTCCCTGGAGCACAAATTAAGGATGTGACAGAAGGATCGCCATAACTCATGAAAGCCATAGATCTGTCTCCCTTTCTTCTCATCCATGTGGGAACAAACGAAACAGCCAAGAGCAACTTTGAAGAGATCACATCACACTCTGAAGCTCTGGGAAGGAAACTCTACCATTTTGGACCTCAGATGGTTTTCTCATCCCTCCTACCCGTACTCGGAAGAGGAATAGAAAGGGAAAGGGAAATTCTCCAGGTGAAGGACCAGGTACGAAGGTGGTGTTGAAGTGAGGGATTCGGTTTTGGGGATCAGGGGCCAAGCTTCCTGCAAGACGGACTGCTGGCAAGAGACAGCTCGCACCTCACAAGGACTGGGGAGAATGTGTTTGGCCACAGCATGGAGAACGTCATCAGGAGGGCTTCGAACTGAACTGGAAGTGGGATGGAGACGCAAGCGGGGAGGTAAAAGCAGACAAAGCCCTACGCATGATGAGGAACAGACTAAACAGTTCTAATGAGGACTAGTAATAACCTTTGTAAAAATGTTTAACGGGCACTCAGTGGGGTGACTCCCATGACTGGAACACAGCAATTGAAGGATCTAAATTGTTCAAAATGAATAGAAAGGGGAGTAGCAGAATATCCTATTCGTGCACAGAAATACAGGAGGGTGGGCTTTGTTGTTTCATCAAAGAGTATCTGCATTAAAATAAAAAAGGCAAAAAGCGAAAATTATGTGATGGCCCAAATCAAGCTACTCAGTCCCTCTCTCTCTAAACACAACACGTTGTCAAAGTCCTTCTGTGGAGTTTATGACTGTGATGATTTGTGTTTTTATGTGTCAGCCGCCATCCCTCACCCCACCATTTGCGACAGAACCACCACGTCAGCGTCTTAACAACCACAACACAAAAGCAGGTTGCGCTCACCTGCTCGGGACCTCCAGGTCTGCCCGGCCAACGATCCGATGCTGGTGTGGAGAGTAGAGCCAGTGGAACGCAGTCAAGGTCCTCTCCTCGATCCGAAAGCGGCCTTCCCTGACGTACCTAAAAATGAAGAATATGTTCGCTTTTTATTGCCTTCACTTCTGTTCAGTTTTATCATCCCTGAAAATTCTCTCTTGCCTTACTTGTCGTCTGAGGCTGAAATGAAATGTTGAAGGAAATGAAGGACTTTGCTGAGACATGAAACAGATATTAAGTTGGAAAATTAACTTTATCTGGACTACAAGCTCAAGAATCTTCCTTGAAGATGTTAGGGTGCTCTTGGTTTCGTGACACAGTTTGTTGTGAGGACAAGGAGCAGAGTGAACTACAGTCTCCCTTAGTAGACTATCCCTTATTTGTTCATGTACTTCAACTGGCACTTATTTGATTCAATACATTTGCTCAGAGAGTCTGGTAAATTAGAAATAATAAAATATTTCTGTTTACTCACAGATCTTCTTATATAAAAAAGAAACACCAGAAACAGTTTGGCAACCGGTGGAGCTCCTTTAACAAGGAGGTGGTTCTGTGAATGTGGTGACCAGCCCCAGTCAGCCATCTGGCTGCTGTCGTCTTTTGGCCCCACTGAACGTTTCATGACACTTTCCATAGTTAGGCAGCCCTAACTATTGAGTGTATTACAGTGATCCAGACAGGAGGTAACTTAGGCATGTGCCAGAGCAGACTTTTCCAGGAACAGATGCTCCTGGATGCCTCCCCAGGAATAGCTGACGCACTAGTATTAATTGGGCCAAGGCCTCTCCTGGCCACCATGGAAACCTGGGCATCCCGGCTTGGAGACAAATCCAGGAGGAGCCACCCCCCAAGTGGCTTGCTTGTGTTTGCAGTGGGAGCGTAACCCCATCCAGCACAGGTAGCATCCCTATTCCCTCATTTGCCTTTCGACAGACCAGGAGCCCCTCTATCTGGTCTGGATTCTGTTTCAGTCGATTCGCCCTCATCCGGTCCATTCCTGATTTCGACAGAAAGGAGAGAGAGAGAGAATTGGGTGTCATCCGCATTCAAGGTCATCAGGTGACACCGAACCCCAAAACTGAGATCAACCTCTCCCAGCGGTTCCATGTAGATGTTGAAAAGCGAAGAGGGCAAAACAGATCCCTGTGGGACCCCACAGTCCTGGATGCCGAACAGGATTCACTACAGAACTTAAGTGCTTCGTTTGCTTCCTGGCAGACTAAGTGGTTATATTCCGGACAGACAGAACCCTTCACGCTACCAGTTTGTGTCTGCCTTTGTAACTCACATAGAGAAGGCTAAACCTGAGGTAGAGAGAGAGACACAATCGCCTGAGCCTGACAGGAACCTCCCCCCCTCCAGAAATGTCCCTCCCAGCCAAAACCTCCTAAAGGCATCATAACACGGTGCAACCTACCCACCCGTGGAACAGGGACTGGTTTCGAAAATTAACTTTATTTGGACGACGACACCAGGAGCTCTCCCCCTGAAGATACCACCTGAAGAGGCCAGCTTTCCTCCGTGAAAAGCAGCCTTCTGGAGATGTGCGATCACTATTTCAACCATAACTGAGTTCAAAAGTAATTCAACCGATTGATCCTCACCTCGGTCAACTTCCTTGCAACAAGCCTCTCCAGGCTTAGCTATGCTGGGTGCCCTCAGCTATTACCGAGCTTTTCCGTCACTTTGGCCACACAACTCAAAAGTCTCAGGAACTTGGCCGGAACCTGCTGGGGTTCCTCCTTTTCTGCAATTAACTTTGGCCCGTTCAGGGGTCCCCTTCGTGCGGCTACAAGGGGACAGAGTCAAACCTCTGGAGAGCAAACCGCTCAACAGAAGCAAAGGGAATAAGCCCCAGAGAAGTTGGCACAGCAAAGCAGCTGCTCTTCTGGATAAGCGACATGATGCGCAAAATTAATGCCATTGACCCTCAAATTTTTCTTACAACTGGCAAAACTCTCACAGGTGAAGAAGGGGTTTAAAAAGGCAGCTTCTCGCTTCTCACAAGCACGGATGAGGCAAGGAAAGAGGGGCCACCAGGAATCTCGCACGAGGGGGTCAAAACGCTACGCAGCCATTCCCAAATGATGCATCACTGTGACCCCTCTTTGCCCCCCCTCCATCACTAAGGACACCCCTACACTCTATACCAATGGTCAGGAAACAGGGGTAAATTACCCCCTAAGGACACCCCGACACTCTATACCAATGGTCAGGAAACAAATGGGGTAAAAATGAAAATCCTGGGGGTAATGAGGACGGTCGCGGCAGGCATTTTACCCCCAGGCATTTTATTTCCGACAATGCTGTGTGTAGGCGGCCGTTCCGTCGCGGGGAGAGCGAGCCCCAGCGGGGAACTGCACAAGGGCACCCGCCTGTCCTCCTCACCTCCAAAGTGGAGGGGGAGGGCGGTGTACCAGGCCAGCTGGACTCTTTGCCCGGCAGAGCCCTGGCTGGGGCTTTCCTTCCTGCCCGCGCGCCCACCTGCCTGGTTCGCTGGCAAGGAGGCCCCCTTCCCACCCCGGCTCACCTGAGCTCATGGCCAGTGGACCTGCCCGCCCTGCAATGCCCGCTTCCCCTCGCCAAGGATGCACTTTCCCAGCAGTGTGGTGGCTCCTGACTGGGTGCCCGGACGCTGGCCACAGGTCCCGGGCGAGCACAGGAGGGACAGGGGTTGGCCGCGGATGGCAAGAGCCGGAGGGGGGGGAATGTCAAAGTAAATAATTTGGGGGGGGAGGTAAAAAAAGTTCCCTGACCCCTGCTCTATATAATCACTTTCAGTTTTGAGGGGGAAATGCTTCAAAACCCTATCAAAATCTGCATCACCCGCCACCCCTCACCCGGCGGACGCGAACGGCTTTCCACTCCCACTGATATGCCAGCTGTAATGTTTAATTTGTCCCCAGCATGGTCTGAAGGGGGTTCTTTCAGCAGCTTTTATAACGTTTACATGTAAACCAGGGCTTTGGAAAGCTGCCTGCTCTGTCCCTCTTCCCCACCCCCCGAGAAAACAGCAAATCTGAGGCCATTATTGATGAGGGGGCGTCAGCAAGAGAAAAACGAATTCCGGATGTCTTCACTCAGGCAATGAAATTTAGCTCCCTTGGGGGAAAAATACCCTTGAAACACGTTGAGAATAAAGGACAGGGCCATCCCCAAGAGCTCAGCTTCTCTCCCGTGCTTGCCTCCTCGTTAAACAAATCTCACTTAATTATGTTCCTAGGAGTTTGAGTCGAGAGAAGACAGGGGGCTTGCGGGGGCCAATTAATTAATCAACAAAAACACTTGATCAGTCAACTGAAACACACGTCATTCAGTGACGGCTGGGTCAGTTGAGCCGAACACATGACACTCCTCTAGGAACTTGCCATACAGAACAGAAAGCAGATGGAAGAGAAAGGGGGAAAGACATTGAATGGTAGGAAATTCAAAGAACAGGACGTCATCCAATCAGAGAATCATGGAGTTGGAAGGGGCCGTAAAGGCTGTGGAGCCCAACGCCCTGCTCAAGGCAGGGATTCGGGTCAACACAAATCAGACCATTGGCTCATTTTCTCTTGAAGGCCTCCAGCATTGGAAAGCGCTCACCACGTTCCGGAGTCAGGGGTTCCACTGACCTATGGCTCTAACATTAAATTTTTCCTAATATTCAGCCTTAATCTGTCTTCCTGTCCCTTGAGCCCATTGTTGTGTCTTTTGCACTCTGGGATGATGGAGAACAGATCCTGCCCCCCCATGACAAGTCTTTGAGAAGGGCTCTCCTCTCTCTCCTCCGTCTTCCTTTCTCCAGGCTATACAGGCCCAGTTCTTTCAGCCTTTCCATGACAAGTCTTTGAGAAGGACTCTCCTCTCTCTCCTCCGTCTTCTTTTCTCCAGACTATACAGGCCCAGTTCTTTCAGCCTTTCCTCACAGGGCTTGGTTTCCAGCCCCCCCCCCCGATCATCATCCTTCTCACCCTCCTCTGCACTTTTTCCAATTTCTCAACATCCTTCTTGAAGTGCGGTGTCCAGAACTGGACACAGAACCCAAGATGGGGTCTAACCAGGGCTGAATAAAGAGGAACTAGTATGAAGGCTGACCACCAAAGAATTGATGCTTTTAAAATGTGGTGTTGGAGGAGAACTGCAAGGAGAACAAACCAATCCATATTGAAGGAAATCAACCCCAAGTGCTCACTAGGAGGACAGATCCTGAAGCTGAGACTCCAATCCTTTGGCCATCTCATGAGAAGAGAAGACTCCCTGGAAAAGACTCTGATGATGGGAAAGTGTGAAGGCAAGAGGAGAAGGGGAGGACAGAGGATGAGATGGGTGGACAGGGGCTTCAAAGCTACCAAAACAAATTTGACCCAACTCCGGGAGGCAGTGGAACACAGGAGGGCCTGGCGTGCTCTGATCCATGGATTCACGAAGAGTTGGACACGACTTAACAACTAAACAACAACAAGTATCTCATGGGATTTGGTGACTATACTTGTAAATGGAACCTAAAATAGCATTGGCCTTTTTTTAAAGCCACATCACACAGTTGACTCATCTGTAGCTTGTGATCTACAACCATTCCAAGATTCTTCTCGCTCGTAGTTTTGCTGAGCTGGGTATCTCTTACCTTGTAACTGTGCAATTGGTTTCTTTTCCCGAGGTGCAAGACTTTGCACTTCTCCCTGTCGAATTTCGTTCTGTTGCTTTTGGCCCAGGGCTCCACCCTATCTAGTTCACTTTGAATTTTGATTCTGTCTTCCAGCATATTAGCAATTCCACTGTGTCAAGCTATGGGCCCACATTCAAATCCAGCCTCCTCCGTGAGCACCCCTACCACCATGCTTTATAATTTATTGTGCCGAACATGTTGGCCTTCCAGTAGAAAATGCCCTGCTATAAGTAGGCTTCCCAGCCTTGGGTCCCCCAGATGTTCTTGCACAACAATTCCCAGAAATCTTGGCCAGCACAGCTAGTCCAAGAACCTCTGGGGGACCCAAGGTTGGGGGAACCACTGACCTCTGAGAAAGAAAGAAACCATCCTCACCTTTATCTATAAAGACACCAACCTTTGTCTACACAAGGCCTCCTAATGTCCTCCTGCTGTTTTTCAGCAGCTGCTGAAGCTTATTAAGTAGTCCTACAGCAATGAATTGAGTCCTGATAGTCTAATTAAGCAACTTTGCATGACAAAAACATCCTGTAATTAGGCTTGAAGGAGAAAGCAAGCCAGATTCCTTCCGCACATTAATCACAAATACTGGTTAATGCCGGCTCGTTTGCATTAGAATGTTTACTTTTACCACTGAGCATTCCTTGCTAAAGGATAAGGATGGTTACACCTTTACTTACTTACCAACCAACACTGTTCCCCCCCCCCATTAGTGCATTCTGGGTGGTTAACAACATAATGATCAAAACATCTAGACCAGAAATTAAAATTAAAGCATGGGTCAAATAAAAACCCATCCCACCTTTGCTTTCTCTCTTCCCATTCCTTGGAAAGGAGGAGAGAGAAAAGCAGGATCCAAAGTACAGCCAGTCTGAAAGGTAGTATTGGATGTGACAGAAATGACACCTAAAGAGGGGGGGAAAACTAGATCATGTAAGTCAAAAGTCAAGATCACAGCAGGCCAAGGACTTTCATGTTTGAAACAATAGTGCTTCTTCTAGTAAGGTGCTAAATTTTGATGTTGGAGGACTGGAGGGAAGAACAATAGGGCTGATCCACAGAAGATCAAGCCCCCCACCCGATACTGGAAAATGTGGATTAGCATGTCTCTATCTCCCTCTAGTGGCCAGTTCTATTTATTTTATTTATTTATTTATTTTACTGTACAGTATTTATATCCCGCCTATCTGGTCGGGTCAGGACCACTCTAGGCGGCTAATCTAGAAATTTCATCTTTAGAAAAGTGTATTTCTAGGATTTTTCTTTTCATATTTTTAATATTTTCAGACCGTGAATACGTGAATCAGCAGATATTGATGCTGTGGCTATGGGGGTCCTACTTTGGGCGCACATTTTATGAACCTTTGGGAAGGGAGAGGAAATCCAGTGGGAAATGATAAGGGGGATTTCTTATAGGAATTATCTTTGGCTACAAATCAAGGCAGAAGGTGAGGATTTCCTGCTCTCACCTGAGGTCTGTAAGAAGATGTAGAAAAGCAGGGATCATGGGGGCATCAGATGGCCCTAGATCACGAAAAGCAACTGGGTGGTCCCGCAGACATTGTGGTACCACTAAACTAGTTCTTGCACAAGGCAGGATGAAAATGGCTATCCAACTGCATTTGAAGATGGTCCATTTTTGGTCCTAGATGCCACTTTGTAGCCAACCCTAGACCCACCAGCAGCCACGTCATGTCCTAGATCCAGATTTATCAAATGAGACCCACACAGGCTCTGGTGCAAGGAACACCTTCCACCCGTCCTGTCTGGTCCCTCCAATGAGACATCTCATCCATCTACAGTTGGGCTCCAGCCTCTCTGATGAGCTGTCTCCTTTTCCTTTCCTAGTTTGGAGGTCTTCCAGAAAAGCCCTTTCTTTCATCCCAAAGCCCTGTTTGGTGGAGTGGGGAGAGAGAGGGCCTTCTGAGTGGTGACTCCCAGGCTCCGGACTTCCCTCCGACAAAGTCGGCTGCTTCTCTACCACTCAATAGGACTGGTGGTTTACAATATAATTGAGCAAGTTGGTACTCGTTTGACCAACCTCAGAAGGATTGTAGTGCTGGAGGAAACTCTTGAGAGTCCCCTGGACTGCAAGGAGAACAAACTATCCATTCTGAAGGAAATCAACCCTGAATGCTCACTGGAAGCACAGATCCTGAAGCTGAGGCTCCAATACTTCGGCCACCTCATGAGAAGAGAAATCTCCCTGGAAAAGACCCAGATGTTGGGAAAGTGTGAAGGCAAGAGGAGAAGGGGACGACAGAGGACGAGATGGTTGGACAGTGTCACTGAAGCAACCAACATGACTTTGACCCAACTCCAGGAGGCAGTGGAAGACAGGAGGGCTTGGCGTGCTCTGGTCCATGGGGTCACGAAGAATCAGACACGACTTAACAACTAAACAACAACACCACTCATTTGACCAACCTAAGAAGGAAGGAAGGCTGAGTCCACCTCGAGCCGGTGACCTAAGTTCATCAGGACTGATTTGAGGTTGTGTGTGCAGAGTCTTGACCACAGCACTGCAGTTTAACCACTGCGCCACGAGACCCCTACAAGAGTCCTGGAACACTTTTCTTGTCCTTCTGCCGTTAGACAAAGACTTTTTTATTCCAGCAAGTTTTTTTTGACAATGGTCCGACTCTTTAGGAAACGGAGCCGTGCTGTGTTTTTTCTTTTCAACTGTTGTGTTTCCAAACAATTTTTAAATTAGCTATATTTTGACAGGTTCTCCCTTAAAAAAGAAACAAAGAAAGACGGGAGAGAGGACGTTTCTGACAGCCGATTTAATTGCATTGTGGCTTTTTCTTAGCTTTTCATTTGTATTTTTCTGCACTTTTTAAAATCTGTCTTTGCTGTATTTTTTTAAAAAAATTTATCTATCCCTTGCCATTCTTCCAGTACAGTATAGCGGCTTCCAGGCTTGGGCCAGCCCGGCTGGTGGCAAAGGCTTCTGGGAATTGGGCTCCAGAAACACCTGGTTGACCCAACGTGGTAAACCATTGTTCCAGGACAAAGATCCATATGTGACTTACCAAAAAAATTGTTTAAAAACAACAACCATATACAGCTAAGATACAGTAAGTTATTGTATTAAAATCCAATAAAAGGCATCATCAGATTAAATGAATCGCTGAATTGCAACGTTTAAAAAACGATATAAAACACACAGGCCAGAAAAGTATTGGCATTTTACTCTGGAGTAAGTCAATGATCCCAAGTCGTCATGGCACATGGAGTCAGGTGAGCAGCCACAAGTCAGGTGAGCAGCCACAAGGCTAAGCATGAGACCAGCACTTCGTTCATTACATGGGATTCACCCTCCACAGACTGACCTCATATTACCTGCTCCAGAGAAAAAGCCTGACTCATCCATGAAGCTGAGGGTCAATTAGAACCTGCTCCCCACCTTCAGCTCCTGACATATAGAGCTGAATACAATGGTCAGGTACCCATCCATTGCAATAGAGACCATAAGGTCAGACAATAGCAGCCAGAGGGGATATCCCCGTTTCCTAACTGGGGTGGATGGAGTGGCTCCTCCCCCATGGTTTCCAGGGTCTCGCTGACATTCACTTGTATTTACTGTTAGTTTTAATTTTTCTTTATTTTTATCTCTTCTTCCTTTTCATAGATTATCTTCATTTTAATGTTAATTTTAATTTCAATGGCCTAAAAGGGCCCTGGAGAGGAAAGGTGCAATTTCACCATTAGGGATGTGGTTTTTCGGAATTCAAAGACTCCCTGTCCCATGCTCCAGCAGCAGTCCCCACCTCTGGGGTCAATCCACTGGGACCCATTTCCTTACACACCTTTCGCTGGCCCCAGGGAATCTTCACGGCTCCTAGGGTGCAGGGGGGGCACTTATAGGACCATCGGACGCACCCCCTTTTCACCCTATTCCTCCCCCATCCCTCGCTCTCTTTCCAGGAGAGGTCAAGCCAGAAATGACATTCTAACTTTTGGAGAACAGAGAAATCCTAGAATCCTCAGCCAGTTCCCACGGGAGGGCTACGCCCAGATCTCGCAAACAGATGCTTACCAGGGAGTAAGGTAAACCAGGCGCAGGAGAGTTGGGGGTCCAGAGTGATCCCAAAGAAGCCAGGCCTTGTAGCTAGAGCCCAGAAAGCTGAGTCAGGCCGGATCCAGACCCAGGAGAGAGAGAGAGCTGGTCTCTCTGGACACTCAAAGGGAAGGGTCTACAGCTGGCCAGAGGAAGCCCCACCCTGAGCTCAGCTGCAGGGCATTAGCCGCCTGGGAGGAAAGCTCAGCTGCAGGATCAGGCCCATGAGTCTCCCCAGGGGAAACAGCTTTCTCTCACCGAGACCGCCCTACTCCAGAGGAAGCCCCTTCTCTCACCTAGTCTTTCCTCCACAGCCAGCACTTCTGGTTCTTCCCCCTCTCCGGTCGTTCCAACCATGACCCAGGAGAAGGTCTCTCCAACCCAGCCCTAGATTCCAGCAGAGAGCATCTCCTGCCTCAACGCCCCCTTTCCTCTGGGGGTTCAGGCTGAGGGCCCCACAAGGGCCCAGCGCCATCTGGAGGAGGGTGACCCATCTGGGCTCCTGGGAGGATCCTGGGGCAGCTGGAATGGGCAGTCCTTCCCTCGTGTTGGGTTTGAGGGTTTCTCCAACCCATCAAGGGACCGCATGGCCATCAAGACCAGTAGAATGGACCAAGAAGTTCTGAGAAGAAAACCGGAGGGGATCTGCTGAGATCTAGAGACATGGTGGCCCAGCCACTCCTGGGAATGTTGAGGTACTTCCAAATCAGCCCAAAGTCTTCGTACTAAGGGTACCCAGAAAAAGGGCACCCAATGAGCCATTTGAGATCGGCTCTTCCTTGCAGGCTGCTTTCTCCGAACCAGTGGCGTGCCTGCATAGGACAAAGCTGGACTACAACTCCCATCAACCCCATTGTCTGGGGCTAATGGGAGCTCAAGTCCATTGCCTTCTAGAAAGCTCCAAGTTCTCCTGCTCTACTTTAAGACGTGCTTTGGAGTTTTAAGCTGGCCACATGTGTCTCTCTCGAGCTGCTGTTTTAATGGTTTCGGAGAAATTGAAGGACAGAAGCTCTTTTCCATGAAGGGTGGCGGTGAAGGCTAACGGGCAGAGCCACAAAAACCCAGCATATTTTAGCCACCACCTTCCCGGCCAACCACAACGTCTCAGGAGAGATCTTAGAAGGGGGAAGAAATCTATGAAATTAGGAGATGATCAAAGAGGGGCGGCATGGAAAAAAGGGTGCGAACATCTGGTGAACTCCAGATGGAAAAAATATCTCAAGGTCTAAGTGGACGGGTCCCCTGAACTTTGAAATAGAAGGCACTCAATGTCACAACACAGAATAAGCAACTTCTCAACAAAGACGCATCCTGATGACACAAGATTAGCATCTGCCAACAGCATGATTTAACGGCGGAATGTTTATGCTGACAGTTTACCAGCCGCGTTAATAACGTAATTGCTATTTTCGGCATTGAACTCCCCTTGCTTCTCGCTCCCCGCCCCCCTGCAGTGCACCTAAGCGAGTCGGAAGAAGTAGAGGATCATTCCCAAAAACGGCATTCCCTGAAATAAACCTGCCAGTCTTTCAGCTTTGGAAAAAAAAAAAAAAAAAAAAAAAAAGGCTGTCTGCTCGCTTGGCAGGGAGAGACTAGCAGAAGAAATTCGATCAGGAAGGTCACCCCCAGCTTTTGGAGAACCAAAGATCGGGAAGGAACCCGAAAGGGACCTCGCCGCTCGCCCATGGTAGAAATCGAATGGAAAGGCAGGCCTGACCAAAGGATCGTTGAACCCTAGAATCAGGGCGTTGGAACCGGGCCAACAAGGCAAGGGATCCCGATCCAAGGATATTTGCTGGGTGGTTGTCTAAATCAGTGGTCCCCAACCTTGGGCCTCCAGATGTTCTTGGACTACAACTCCCAGAAGCCTTGCCTTCCACCTCTATATTTCTTCCCATTGCAGAAGTAAAGTGGAATGATATCAATACAATGATTAAACAATAGAGAACTCCATGTGTGCTAATATTTATGTCTCCTGGAGGCCCTCCAGAGTCAGAGCCCTCTCCACCTCTCAAGGTCATGGGTTCCATAGTTGTACTGCTCTCAGGGTTAAGATGTTTTTCCTCATATTCAGCCTAAATCCGGCTTCCTGTCCCTTGAGCCCATGGTTGTCTGTCCTGCACCCTGGGAGGATCAAGTATGGACCCTGCTCCTCCTCTTGATAGCCATCTTTCAAGTACTGTATTTGCAGAGTGCTATCCTATCTCCCCTCTGTCCTCTTTGGTCAAGGCTATACATTCCCAGTTAGACAGTCTTACAGAATAATGAAGTTGGAAGGGACCTGTAAGGCCATCTAGGCCAACCCCCTGCATAAGGCAGGGATCTAAATGAAAGTGTATATGACAGATGGTTTTGTCTAATTTTTTTATCTTTCAAGTACTGTATTTGCAGAGTGCTATCCTATCTCCCCTCTGTCCTCTTTGGTCAAGGCTATACATTCCCAGTTAGACAGTCTTACAGAATAATGAAGTTGGAAGGGACCTGTAAGGCCATCTAGGCCAACCCCCTGCATAAGGCAGGGATCTAAATGAAAGTGTATATGACAGATGGTTTTGTCTAATTTTTTTCTTGAATTCCTCTAGCATTGGAAGTGCTCACCACCTCCCAAGAGAATTGACTCCTTCATCATACTGCTCTAACAATTAGGAGGTTTTTCATAAATCGAAATCTGGCTTCCTGTCCCTTGAGCCCATGGTTGCGTGTTCTGCACTCTGGGATGATGGAGATCAGATTCTGCCCCCTCCTCTGAAGGACAGCCTTTCAAATATTTGAAAAGGGCTCTCCTATCACCCCTCAGCCTTCTTTTCTCAAAGCTAAACATGCCCAATCCTTTCAGCCTTTCCTCCTAAGGCTTGGTTTCCAGTCCCCTGGTCATCATCCTCGTCGCCCTCCTCTGAACCTGTTCCAGTTGGTCAGCATCCTTCTTGAAGTGTGGTGTCCAGAACTAAACCCAGGACTTGAGATGAGGCCTCATCCGTGCTGAGTCGAGGAGAACAAGCACCTCACGGGATCTGGGCACTAAGGCATCCGTTAATGCATCCTCACAGCCTTTGCCTTTGAGGCCACAACTAAGCCTCTGCTTCGATATTTCCAGCAAAAGAAGGCCAAAGCGTTTTGGAACAAGCTATTCAACCACTCAGGAGCTCTAACTCCTAGGCAGCTCTACCACGGGTCTAATAGAAATCCTCCCCCCCCTTTGAGCCTGTTGCATCAAGACTCACGTGGGTCGAAAGAGAACAGACTGGTCCCCAATCACCCCCAGGGAATATATCCCTGAGATGATACGCCAAGAGGTGACTCTTCCCAGCCTTGCATCTCTCTCTCTCTCTCTGGGGCCTTATCCCCACCCTCCGGCCATGGGAAGCAGCCTCCTCCCATCAAGCGTCACCCTTTAGAAGGCTTTGATCATTGCAGAGGATTCAACTCAGGGCAGATGAACCTCAGAAATGAGGGGCCCGGATTCCCCTAAGGGGTGTGGCCTGTGGATCCCCCCCCACGTGAGGCCCGCCCTCATCCCGCCAGGGTTTTGTGATATTCACACACACACACACACACACACACACACACACAGAGAGAGAGAGAACATGAGGCCCCGCCCTCATCCCACCAGGGTTTTGTGATATTCACACAGAGAGAGAGAGAGAGAGAGTTTTCCTAGGTAGGTTTTTTCTTCCTCCCCTCTAAAAGGTTTAAACACCCCTCCTGAGGCTTAGTTACTGGAAATTAAGAGCTCCCCCAAAGCAGGGTTTAGCCCGACCCCCTTTGCCTTTGGCCCCGCCCACCCGTGGAACATGAGACTTTTCCAGCATTGGCTCCAACCCTCAGGCTGGAAAAAAGGGTGCTCCTTTCACTTATCGGAAGGAAAGCATTTAAGTGTACAATTAAGATGTCATGTGTGAACACCCTGCCCGTGGTTTACAAGGGAAGGTGTCCCCCCCAACTGTGCGTCGCTGGCGGGAGTTTTCCGTAAAGGAGGAAACCTGGACTTTTAAGAAGGGTTGGCTTACATCCTTTGAGAAAAGGTGTCACCCTAAATATTCTTTTCTGTTCCCAAAAAAAGCAAATCTCTTTTCATGTTATAACGTGTTTCTTTCCAGACCTACAAGAAGCTCAGAGCAGAAAAGATCATTCACCACCTTCCTTTTCTACTCTTAACTCCCACCTTCCTAAGCCAACACAGCCTGGGCTACATTGGTGGGGGATGATGGGGGCTGCAGTCCATGAGGCCTATGAATGGGACACCTTCCCTAGTGCCAGTTGGGTTAAATTTCAAAGAGCCACTCCTGCGAAGAGAGTTCAAAATGGGCAGGCCAGGGGACCGCTCCCGTTCTGGCCCATTCTGTGGAGAACGGGTCTTTTGCAAAGCTAACGGGTCTTAAGGGTGCATGCAAAAATCAACCAGTGCCCCGCTGATACTGACCCCTTGCCACTTTTGCCCTGCGAAACCCCACACCCCATGTCTTTAGGGGCATACATGACTGCGCACAAAATCTCTGGCATCATTTTTCTTTCCGCCTCTCCTTGAGAATCAGGCACCCCCACCCTCACTCCCCAACCTGGGGGGGCGGGCTGTCCCTTGGAGGTCGGCTGCTTTGAAGCAGGTTCACTCAAGCGGATTGACAATGCCTTCTCAGGCCCTTCTCCTGTGACTTGGTTTTGAAAAGACGTCTTGTTACCAGAATGCTGCAGCACCGCTCTGCCATGCGCTGGAGCAGCAGCAATGTGACCCTTGCGTTTCCAACAGGAGAGGCTGGGGTCCTCCCCTCCCCTCCCC